TAGGACGTGGAGCAGGGTGGGCAGCCATTAGAAGGGCGAGAAACAGGAATTCTGCGTGAGGGGGTGCTACTCACCCTCCCGCCGGCCTCGACTGAAAGCTGCTGAAGTAGCGTTTGCACCCAGGAAACAGATTTTTAATACCGATATTTTTGTTTGGTTTTATTTATGTTTTTCCTTAAGCCACAGCTACACATCTACTATATTAAAAATAGGAAAAATTGTTCATTTGTATAATTTATAACCGTATCTCCTCCTCCTGTGGCTTACAGGTGTGGTGTTACTTCTTAATGGGTTAATTATTTTCACTTAAAGGTTCTGACTCTTCACGATTCCCGTTCTCAACGTACGGTCCTATGTTTCGAAGCTCATGTACCGACCTGAAAACAACAACTGCGAAGGGTTTGGTTTATTTTCTTCTTGAACCACGTGTACTGGGACTTTATGGTCACCAGTGAGCCAGATCCTCTGGGCCGGGCTCCGTCCCGTGCCGGGCTGAGCCGAGGATCGGACCACGAGTCACGTGCAGGGCCGGCCCTGAGCTGTTAATTGATTGCTTTGCTTGTTAATTTTACAGTCTGGTTTACAAACGGAAACCCGGAGCATCCCAGCCCTGCGTCAGCGGCGGCCTTGAGACGGTTTCAGGAGGGGGGGTGCAGTGCTTCTAAGAGTCCCTGCAACCAGAGTCCTCTTTTCCATTTTATTTTTACGCCTTTTTTTTGTTCGCAAGTCGGAAATACTCCCCAAAGTTCATAGGAAAGTTTGTCAGAAGTAAATTGTCTCAGGCTGGCGTGTGAGATACAGCACTGTGTATATTTTCAGGAACGTTGCTTTGGTTTTTATCTTACCTTTTCTTGGTGATAGGTAGAAGAGACCTGACATTCCGTACTCCACAGCTATGTAATGCTCAGCTAGGCTTGCAGAATATTTAATTATAATTTACGTTTTGTTTATGCCGGTGTTTTATACAATACTTTGTTCATGTTCTTCAGAATGCAGCCACTATAACTTGATAATTCATTGCACTACTAAAGCTATTTAAAATTCCAGAAACCCTGTAACTTGGATTTCATTTAAGAAGCCTGCGGCAGAGTTTGGAGCCCAGCACGGCTCCAGCGCCGGGACCACCACCAGCGGCGGGTGCCACGCGGTGACGAGGCCGGCGGGCACGGGGGGCCCGGGCCCCTGGAGAGCTATGGGATGGCAGCCGGGGCGCAGAATCCAGCTCAGCAGCCCGAGGCCTCGCGGGGCTTTCCCAAGGACGAAACGTGGCCGTGAAAAACCCACCCCGCGCCCACCAAGCTTACGAAGGAGTTTTGTACCTTTTTCCACAGCCAGTGATTTTGCACTGTTAGTAATTCCCTCCTCTCGTCCCCGCTCCCTGTCTGCCATTCTGAGAAAGCTTATTAAAATATTTTTTTAAACATACTGGCTGTGTAAAACAAAAATTCCTGAGTTTTTTGCTCCAACGAGCGAGCAGGTGGAGGGTTGCTGCGTACAGAGGCTGGGAGCATCCCCGCGCTGCAGCGGCTCCG